ATCTGAGTATGAAGAAATGATATATCTACCAGCTCCCATACGAAATAGTCGGGACGTGAGCTTAGAGGGGTTAGTTGTGCATCTGATTTCTTTTGCTCTTCAAGCGCTAATATTTGGGGCTCAATAAAATCAGGTACATTTTTTGAGAAGGGCTGTGTTGATTGTATGATTTGGCAATCCAAAGCGTTGTCGTAGATTTCTGTCTGAGCTGTGTGACAACTATTCCTTGTAGATACCCAACTAATAAAAAGAAAAAAAAAACTATCACACTTTCATTGCATGTCGAAGATAGAAGATGAAGTAAAGAGCCTCTAACATGTTTATCGAGTTTTTGTGAACCGATAAAGGAACAGGGAAAAATAGGAATGGTAACCGTTAAAGATTGGTTAGAGAATCAAATGATCGGGAGAAGTGGAGGACAATCATTAGAAGACGTAATACATAAAAGAAAGATTTCATGACACAGCAATACCGTTCACGGATTTACTACGATGTTTAAAATGTCAGAATATGTCCAATTGAAAAGAAACATCTAACATCAAAACTTAACCGATTTAAGTCGCTATTGTATGCTTTGTTAGCATTGACAGCTGTCCATAAATTATATTGTGAGGTATCCCAACACTCTGCTTACAGACGATGAAATTCTTAAGTAAACACTAAAAAAGGCATATATTCAACTCGCCGTGTTATTTCATTCAATATCTCCATAAAAACATAATGCATAACAAATAAAAGCTTATTTCATGAACTTTGTTTCTATCTTATTTATTTTTATATGTACTACAGTGTGCGAGGAACGTTGCAGTTTGAAAATAGAGACATTTTGGTGATTTCGCAAAATGTTGGCCATTTCTTTAACTGACGGTAGTTTAGACTTTCTCAAATTTTGTAACATGCGCACTCCGCAGAGTTTATGACAATTTTCCTAAGACGTTAGTTTGAAAGTTAACATTCTAAGCTTCATTTTCATATATTTTATATATTTTTTTTTTATTTTAATAAGAAGTTTTTAAACAATTCAATAAAATCTTTGATCGTAAAATTTAAATGCTTCTTGTAAAAATAAAAACACAGACAATATATCATTAAAACAGTCATTTAATATTCTATGAAAGTAAGTGAAAATCAAATATGAAACGATATCTCCATTTTGCGCGTGTGTGATTATGTATAACCATGTGCGACTCGCTCGGCCATCATTTCAACTCCACGCGACAATCAATACACAGCGTCAACACGGACACAAAAGAATCGACCAGCATGTTTTCTATGGACGAAATTTTCAAGGAAATTCATAAGAATTTGTTTTAAATATTAATTTTCTATATGTAAAATGTAAATGGGATTTAGAAACCGTTTTCGTCATAAAAAATAGGAAACAAAAAATAACGTGTGAGATACTGGAGAAAGAAACAAACTATGCTTATATAGGTAGATTTACATGGGTAAACAGATATAGAAAGTTATGAAAAGTTACGAAAAGCAAAGAAGCAAGGAAGAAATATTACCGTATATACAGGCGTATCATGCGATTTTTGAAGACCTATTTTTAAGCTAATTTTAAGAGGGTCGCATCATACATGAGATTTCAAATTTGCGAATGCACAGCTGTCCCTTGTTATACCGTTGATTAAACTATATATCTATTTACTGCAGTCAAAAAGTACAGCTTTATTTATAATAAACATGATTTTGATAAAACTAATGTTTTGCTTAACTGTATCCAATAATAATTCATGTAATATTCACATATTAGTATCGTATTGTAAAATACAAACAAAGCGAATATGCATCTTTTCCATTGTTTACGTTCATAATATGTTTAGCTGTTTCTCGTCGGGTGTTTATGGTTGCATGCCTTTACGCAACGAGTATAGCGTTACTAACGATACTTTTATTATTCTCATTTACTTTTTAAAATTCCTTAACTAGTAGATGGAATAAAGAGATGAAAGCTTGGAATGCAGAAATAGAGCATCTGACGCCTGAAGATTGAATAAAAAGTACAGAATTTTTGCGAGTCTGAAGAAAAACAGCTGAGGAAAACAGGAGCGTACAAGAGAAGAAATATCGTAAATATAATAAAACAAGTGTTGTAATGAATATGCATACAGCTGGGTTCCCCCTCACAGTAATATGATTGGCTGGTGTCAGCCATAAATACAGACTGATGTGGAGGTACATGAAGGAAGCCTATGGACTACGCCTATTGTCTTCGACTATTGCCTACACCTATTGCCTACCACTACGAAGAAGACCAGTCCATTACGATTACCTGCTAGATTGTCCTACCCGGTTACATTAGTGAACAACTACTTTGCTTGTTCGAAAAAATATATCCCTTTCCGGGACATATCAACAAATAATAGAGATAGCTTCACATTTGGAAATAACATACAGAACAAAACAAACTCCTGGTGATGACGGAGGGTACAAGGGTCGTAACGTTATCATTATAACGATAAAGATAAGCATTCAGGTAATAAAAGACATGACTACATTTGCTTTTTTCAGTATTCTCATGAAATCGGCAAGCGAAAGTGTGCACAAATGTTATAAACGATCAGCAGATAATAATTGACTGGTTTAATTCGATTTTCGACCTCGATTTCTTGAAAGTTTTTATTTTTTTTATTTTACCAATTAGATAACGAGGCATCTGAATATCTCATTACCACAAACCCAAAGCCGGAAGCGCTTTGGCCAGTACGCCCACTTGGCTGCTCTAAGGCGTTTCCAAAAGCCACCTTGCGGAGGTGGGTGGCGTTTACGATGTCATCTGTTAGGCGGGGTTTGGAAAATTCCCTTTAACCTAAGAAGGTTAACTGTGTTAGTCCCTTGTCGATCGGAATTCTGCCTGGGCGTCGCCAGACTAGCTACTGTATATGTGTTTTTTGTTGTTGTTTTGTTTGATATACTATTGCTATAATATACAGCATGTTTCTTTTGCATTTTATATATCTTGCATTATTATATCATCATAATATTGTATTAATAATTAAGTTTTTATTTTTATATATTTTTTATATAAAATAATAATATGGAGGATCACCAGTCCTACTCGGAGCAGTCCAGGGCCAACTCAGGCCGGGGCATTCCAGTAAGCTCGCAGCATGCTAGCGGTATCACGGAAGATTGACCTTGATATGGGACCAAAGTGTTTCAACTGCAGAAGCCCTAGTGTCAGACAATCCTGGTAGCACTGTTGGGCAGCTGCCCATCACCAATTACATGTAAGAATGATGACCCTTAATTGAGTCATCGTTAGTCTCAGCGATTGCCCGCGTTTGACACTCATAGCAGTGGATTGAAATCGCATCGTGTCTGGACGGCTCATGTTCACGCTTTGCCCGATTCCAAACCACCATATTCAACTAAATAGAAAAAAATATATATATACTGAAATCTGAAAAAAGTCTGGAGAGCGCATCGGCCAAAACTTATGAATATAACAAACCAAATGGAACGCGCTGGACTCAATGGCAAAGCGTGTGATAATGTATTGTCAAATATTCATTATTCCAAATATTTTCATTTACGTTGTTTTTTTTTAAACGAGTCTCCAGCAGGGTTTATTCTTCCAGTATTAGGATTTATTATGTATATTTTTTTCGATCTATTCTTTCTTTCATGGATACTACAAATACAAAAAATCATAGCATCTGCTCCATGACCCTTTGGTAGTAATATGTTTATGTAGACGCGATGAATAGCGGGAGATCAAGAAACATTAGGAACAACTGAAATCTCTCGACGGGAGACAATATAAACAAGGAAGACAGGACCAAAAGAATAATTGGCTGAAAAGTTGTGACGAAAACATCAATATTAAAACAAGTCCCCGGAAATAAGTAAAATAGCACAAGTAGACGAAAACAGCCCGTTCCATGTTTATTATCTGCTATTTCTTCGTTTTTTTTTATAGGTGGGGGGGAAGTGAGGGGGGTATCAAACTATCTCTCACTTCTGAGTCGATACAAACAGCGGAAAATAAAACAAATAAAATTGTTTGGCATTACAAGACGAAGCAGAATATCCAGATCAAACACTAAACATATTTAATGTCGTTTTATCGTCTTCTAAAAAATGATATGGATAGAACGTTTGCCTTTGATATATCATCCAGTGTTCAAGGTCGATTGCGTATTTTGGTATTGTGTTTTTTTAATTTTTTTTTTTTAAACTATGAGCGAAAAGTCATATTGTTAAGGAATCTAAATTTCCTAGGTAGGCGTAAAGAAATCTGAAATTATTATTATCATTATATATATATATATATATATATATATATATATATATATAGAGAGAGAGAGAGAGAGAGAGAGAGTAAAAAGATGAAAAATAAATGAGTTAGATCTAAACACATACACACATATATATATATATATATATAGAGAGAGACTAAAAAGATCAAAAGTAAATGAGTTAGATCTAAACACACACACACACACATATATATGGAGAGAGAGAGAGTAAAAAACATCAAAAGTAAATGAGTTAGATGTAAACACGCACACACACACATACACGCATATATATATATATATATATATATATATATATATATATATATATATATATATGGATGAGAGAGTAAATGAGTTAGATGTAAACACGCACACACACACATACACGCACATATATATATATATATATATATATATATAGATAGATAGATAGATAGATAGATAGATAGATAGATAGATAGATAGATAGATAGATAGATAGATAAAAATCCATGAATTGGATAAATACATAGATGGTAGAATAGGGGTACATACGTTAATTCTCTGATATTCATGAATAAGGTTTGATAAGATAGCGAGATAATCTATATCTGAACATATTTGCTGAAGCTGAGTGCGCGCGCAAAAACACACATAAATGCACATACAAATGCACTTACACCCAAACGCAGACATTCATATATGTACCAATATTTACATACGCAGGGAAATCAAATACATACAGAAACATTGTTGTATCCATATAATGAATCAAATAGATAGATAGATAGATAGATAGATAGATAGATAGATAGATAGATAGATAGATAGATAGATAGATATTGAACATGCGGATATAGACAGACAGATAAATAGATAGATGATAGATATAGAACATGCGTAGATAGATAGATAGATAGATAGATAGATAGATAGATAGATAGATAGATAGATAATGAACAGATTGAGATAGAGAGAAAAGTAAGGATTTATAAATGCAGAAAATATCCAGTTTCTTATCTAGAATGATATATTACAAGTATGCCATTTTTGGATTATATCAAATAAGATAGCTGATTAAATACATCAGAAGCAAATCGATGAGACTGAGTACACTCGTGCGCACACATACACACACACACACACATATATATATATATATATATATATATATATATATATGATAAATTTATTTTTTATTTATTAATCCGAAGTATTTTACCTCTTAAACGTTATTCTTCAGTGGATACACAAATTTCTACACAAATGTTTGACGCAATTTACGCTCAATCATGTCGGATATAACGAAGGTTTCTCCTGCAAGAAGACTCATATATTCGTTATCCAGATATTTGTAATATTCAGGCTGATTGCCGAAAATAAACCGCTTAAATAAACGGAAACTCTACTCAAATAGGACTATCTAATAAAAATAACGTTCGATAAAACGCACGCGCGCGCACACACACACATAAACATATACATAAATGTCACACATTATAGAATGGACAAAGTCCGACAATTAATTTAAGACATTTTTATGTTTATATGAATTTATTTTTATGTATATTTAAAATAGACTTTTAAGTATGCTACAATTATGAGTTAAAATGATCTATGTCAGGGATAAATCGTATGTAAGTTTAAAAGTGGCCACTGGCTTGATCACCAAACGGCGACAGTCTGTTTCAAGCTTAAACGCAATCATGTCCTTACTATTACTTTTAAGAATGAAACAGTCTGTCACCACTGGGTGTTCAACTCAATGTCCATTATATATATATATATATATATATATATATATATATATAAGGGCGAAGATCGAATTGTGGCTCTAAATATCTCGAAGGCGTTTGACAGGTTGACAGGGTCAGGCGCGCTGGTCCTCTGCAAAATCTCCAGGGATACAGCATTACCGGATGATTATTTGATTTAATCCTATCGTTCCTATCAAATCGTGAAATGATGGTCGTATTGAACAGGCTCGGTTCCAGATCGAACGCAGGTGTCCCCCAAGGCTTTATTCTGTGTTCTACGCTATATCTGATCTTCACCAATCATTTTCCTGATGTCATCCGTTTCCAAGTAGGCATTTATGCAGATGACACTTCCATTTACTCATCTCTCAATAGCAAATCCGTCAGCGATGATAAAGTTGGCCGCTACTTTTGAAAAGGCACACAAATCAGTGGTTAACTGGGGCAAGAATTGCCTTGTGAATTCCAATGCTTTCAAAACGAAAATGCTGTCATTTAAACCCCATAGAGAATCTTTTCTGACCGCCTTTACCATGACTGATGTTCCACTCTTGAAAAGCAACCCATTGCGCCGACATCCACTCACGTTTTAAACTGACTTGGAGTAGAACGATTCATCGAGCCAATACCTGCATATACTGCAAGGAAAGTTGTGTCACTGTCAGGTGCCAGAATGTTCTTTCTCGTTAGAATCAATCTTGCATATTTACAAATCTGCCATTCGTCTGCGCATTGAATACTGTTGTTATTTATGGTCTGGTTCTCCCGCTATTCATCTCAAAGTTCTTGACAAAATCCAAAGAAGCATATGCATTGTAATCGATCCTGACGTGGTATCTTGACGTCAATAACATTCTCATCGATCTGACGAGGATTCCATCCGTCTTTTCTACATATGTTTTCATTGCAACTGCTCAGACGAGCTTTTCCCCTGGATTAAGCGAACTACTAGAGTGGCATCTAGGTCCCACCCTTTTATTGTTGAAATAGTTACATATAACCGATACATCTACTCCAACAGTTTCTATTCTCCCACTGACCGCCTGTGGAAATCACTTGCTTTCCTGATAAGTACAATCTTCAAAAATTTAAATGCAATGCCAATCCCTATCTTCTATCTGCTTAAATCCCGTTTATATTTGATTATTTCGTTAATCCCTTTTGTAATAATCTTTTGTCTGTCATTCACTCTCTATATGCCCTTGCTTGCTAGTGGCATTCCCGTCTTGTTTGGGATGAAATGATTAAAAATTAAATAAACCAGGCAGCTAGTATTAGCCCAATAAAAAGTGTGAAATTCAACCTGTTTAAAGTAATTTAATTTCTTGCAATTTTTTAAATTTTCGAATAAAATTTTGTGTGTCGTTTTCGAAATTGGTAAAGAACGATCCAAATATCATATTTCCTCTCTCTTGTTCAAATATCTTCGACTACATTTTTCCAAAACCCATCTCTTTTCAGTTTGGTAGGAAAGATTCGCTTGGTGGCATCAACGACTTTGTTAATTTTAAAATTTATAACAGTCCAAAATGAAAAAGACCACACTATTATACGCATTTTATTTGGTACGCATAATAAGTATATTATACACATCAAGTTTACTGTGCCCTGTACCTATATTGAAAAATATTTTATTTAATGCGATTTGCTTCATGTCCATAATAATAATAACGTATTCAACATTTGGAAAATACTACAAAAAAATTAAAACTTTTTTATTTATTTAGTTCACCCAATAAAATAGAAAAGATCCACTCAAGGTAGAGGGTAACTGCGTGAGATTGTTGATAGTGTGTGAGATAGGGCAAAGAGAGAGATATAATAGATTTGTATTATGTGAATATGAAAGATTGATATAGGTTGATACTAAATATGAAGACATTAAGAATGTAGTGCTCAGGGATGCCCCCTTTCGTGACTATGTTCCAGAAAGCAGCAGTTCTGGAGAAAAGCTCTCTGAATGCCTCTTACTCCATAACAAAGGGAACAGATATGATTTAATGACTTGAACATAGCATGGCGAAACATTGCTGTGAAGATAAAAGCTTATGGAACAAAGGAATTTAGATCGTTTTAACATACGGCATAGTAATAGCGGGAGATTAGTGAGAGGCGAGCAACATTTCGTCTGCGGTATACGGGTGGAAAATAATTCATGAACCACATGGCAACGGAATCGCTGGACAGTGGGGATTGGGTAAGACCACCTTAGGTATAGCAGTAATACTCCATTCGTCGTCTGATCCGATACGTGCAAAGATAAAGCATGACAACATGAGTTACGTGTTGTCTGGTTCTATAAATGAAAACAGGCATTCGTTTAGAATATTTAGACTATGCGAGTTCCATTTGAGTGCACGAAGGAAATGGTGTGGCGTTTAAATACAATGAAGTATGAAATAGATAAGTAAAACAGACAGAGATAGATAGATAGATAGATGGAAATAGACTTAGATAGTTGCGAACGGACGTAGATAGATAGATAGATAGATAGATAGATAGATAGATAGATAGATAGATGGAAATAGACTTAGAGAGCTGCGAACGAACATAGATAGATAGATAGATAGATAGATAGATAGATAGATAGATAGATAGATTTAGAGAGTTGCGAACGGACATAGATAGATAGATAGATAGATAGATAGATAGATAGATAGATAGATAGATAGATTGAGAGAGTTGCGAACGGACATAGATAGATAGATAGATAGATAGATAGATAGATAGATAGATAGATAGATAGATAGTTTCGAACGGACTTAGATAGATATGAACAGAACTCAGCAGATAGATAGAGATTGATAGAAAAACACTATGATAGATAGATAGATAGATAGATAGATAGATAGATAGATAGATAGATAGATAGATAGATAGAACCAAACTGCGGAAAATAGCTAACTAGATGTAAACGCAGTACCTGAGAACAGAGTAAGTTGGATAAAGAAGTAAAAGTGAAATCTGACAAGCTTATCCTAAAATTGGCAAATCTAACTCGGAATTTATTTGTGAAGAAGAATCAAGACGCGCTCAGATATAAGCAAGCGTGAAAATTAATCCAGCGAATGAATCGGAAAGATTGGCGCATTTAAATAATAGCTGTTGAAAGAACAGAGAAAATTACCTTTGTTTAAACTCGTATCAATTGACATTGATATCTGGCGAAAACTGTTTTTCTACAATGAATATATCAAAGACCATAACATGCTACGGCTGTATATTCAATAGCAAAGGATGTAGTACTTCCTTTTTTCTGTTAATATTTCATTTGATATTAATCAAGTATAATATTAATCCTTTGAAAAGATTCAATTGGCGATTCACATTTAATAAAGTCAAACACATTCTCGAATACTCCAGGTCTAAATTTGATACACACACACACACACACACACACACACACACACACACACACACACACACACACACACACACACACACACACACACACACACATATATATATATACGTACATATATATATATATATATATATATATATATATATATATATATATATATCGGATAAAATATACATTTATATATAAATAAATATATATATATATATATATTATATTTATGATATATATACATACATATATATATATATAAATATATATATATATATATATATGTATATATATATATATATATATATATATATATATATACATATATATATATATATATATATATAAATATATATATATGTATGTATACATATATATATAATTATAATATATATATATATATATATATATAAATGTATATTTTATCCGATATATATATATATATATATATATATATATATATAGTAAACGGCGAAATTATTCGTACATTCATCAAATTATTCGTACACCCAATCATATATTTTCATATATAAAGAATAACCTCAAAAATGCGACTATCAAATATAATTATCAATTTAACAATAAATGTCTAACCAGTATTGTAATATAAAAAAGCTATTGTAACAAACGTGAACACAGACGAAAACAATACACAGGATCCATAGAAACAACCTTCAAAAAAATATTTGACAATCACGAAACATCGTTTAAAACAGAAAGTTACAAAAACAGCACAACACTATCAAAATTCATAAAGTGTCAAAAAGAAAATAATATCACCAACAAAATTAAATATCCACCACACAATATCAATACCAGAAACTGCCTGAAGGAAACATTAAAATAAGAAACATTAAAATAATTACCTTTAGAAACCAAAGGAAATTATCAAAAAGAAAAACCCAAAAAATGGGGAAATGTAGACATCCACGTGTAGACAGTCAAAGAAATTGTTTCTTTGTTTACTTAAATGAAAATACTAACACAAACATATAAACACGACACAGAACAGCTTACAAACCTACAAAATATAGTTAATCACGCCCAAACCAAAACCAGATGGCAAAGCAAGAAAGAAAATAAGAATACAAAGACATACACACAGAGAGAAAGTCCCGAAAAGAATATACATGCAAACGATTATCAAAAAATATAAAACACTGCATACACACACACAGACACAAACATAGACCTCAGCATACACACACACAAACACCTAAGCATATACACATATATAAGCACAAACACATAACCACGACTGAAAAAGCATCAAGCGGACAAATAGATTGACACGGTAATAAAGATCAGGCCACCATGGTAAAAAAGAGATCAGTCCTACATAGAGCAATTAAGCGAGTAAGGTTAAAAAAGGGTAAGCATAATACAAAGTAAACAATCACTAAGAAACTCTACCCCGATTAAGAAACAGCAAGACCCTAGATAGAAACAGAAAGCACAATCATCATTCAGGAGGAAAAAAAAAACACATCCGCATATAAATATCAAATTACACCAAACTATACAAAAATACGGAAAAATTAAGAAGTGGCAGCAGAGAAGCCAACAGTCCTGAAGAGTGAAGTTAATTGATAGGTCTATCCACGAACATTCTATTAAAGGTCTATCCTTATCTTTTGATATCGAGCATCTTATAACAAGAAACTGTCTCCTGAAAATGACTTCCCATCAGTAAACCACGGAAAAAGAGACAGCATGTTTGGCATATAAAACCTCTTACAATTTAAGATATATATATATATATATATATATATATATATGAAGAAAAATATACAGAAAAAAAACAAACAAAAATCTTAATATGCAATTATGCTGTATTAATGCTAATATAAATTCGACGTCGGACGTTTCGGTCTATTTAAGACCATCTTCATGGATATTTTAATTTAAACATAATTAAAATTAGAACATATAAAAATTCAACACGAAAAGACGATGGACATAAGAGCACAACTAATCCAAACAGATAACTGAATTTTTTATATAAGATCAGCGTTCCGTTTAAATATGATCACGTCGTCGTCACGTGGGCGACGTTGTGAAAACTTATTCGAAGATGATTTCCAAATATTAAAATATTAAAAAAGTCGATTGAAACTATTTTATATAAACAGTTCAAGAAATCCCTTCCGTTAATATAGGAATACGCAGAGATCAATAGGTTCTTATATCTTCACACAAGCTTGAAGTCCTCCACGTTACAAAGCAAATCAAAATTGATTTAAAAAACGATGGAACAATTTTAAAATTATGTTCTAATGTTAATTATGTTTAAATGACAATGTCCATGAAGATGGTCTTAAATAGACCGAAACGTCCGACGTCGACTTCATATTAACATTAATACAGCATAATTGCATATTAGATTTTTGTTTGTTTTTTCTGTATATTTTTTTCATACTGTCGGATCTATATCCATATATTTGCTTACACACACACACACACACACACACACACATACATATATATATATATATATATATATATATATATATATATATATATATATTGAAGGTAATAGATTCTGTTGATATATAGTTCAAGTAGATCCTAGTAATATAAAATATTAAAAATGATCTCCGAAAACGAGCCCAATATATTTATTGCTAAAGAGCATAATTAATACACAATAAAATCGCAAATCACCTCCTATGGGGAATAAGCTTATTTCGACCGGAGAAAATATAATTCGTTAGTCTTAATCAATGTCGGTATAGAATGAGTTCGTGTCAGAAATAGAAATTTAACTGTGGATTCAATAAAAAATATAGTCGAAAAACGAATACACAATTTATCCATTTCAATTTTTCAGTCAGACGAAAGGCACACGACTGATCAGGGGAAGGTGGACTGTATTTGTCTTAAAGGAAATAGGTTCTATAACAGCATCATGATAAAATTAAACCCGCATATTAACTGAACGTCATTAAATTCGGGTTATATGAAGAATGCCATTTTAAATTAAAACTAAGAATGGAATAAAAATATGTTTAAAAACGCTTAAACATATATAGATAATGTTATATGTAAAAATACAAAGTTATATTTAAATGTACAAAGTCATATTCCAAAAACTAGCTATATTTAAAACAAAGATATGATTAAATAAGTTATATTTAGAAATAAGTCATATTTAAATAATTTCTATTTAAAAATAAGTAAAATTTGATTTAAAACAATTTATATTTAATAAAATATATATTTTATTTAGAAATAAAAATATATTTAAAAATAAAATATAATATGCTAAAATAAATTATGTATTTAAAATGAAAAATATAATATATAGAAATAAAATAAAAAAGTTATATTAAAAATTAGTCATATGTAAAAAATAAATTATATTTAAAAATATAAAGTTATAATTAATGATACAAAGATATAGAAAAATACACATTTATATCCAAAAATAAAGTTAAAATAGACAGATAAAGAGCTGTAAACGATAAAAGAAAAGAAAGTTCTTATAATAGGGAACAATTTATGAGATAAGATTAATATAGTATAAAGATGGGAATATAGAAGATAGAATTCGACATTTGAAATAGAGTAGCTAATTAAGTAAGACCTATATCATGGAAATTTGAATTTGTTTTTATGCCGATATTTTAATACTGTGAAAATGCTGTCAGTAATGATATGTTTATACACTTGGTGAGGTTGTTAATTATGTAAGGCAGATGATGTTAGGAGTGTCTGTAGTTTGGTGGAGGGCTGAAACCTAGCGTTGTTTGCGTTCTCACTGTATATCATTCTAAATATTTAGTCGAGTTTTAATTATTTGTAATCTTTTATTAATATATGAAAAAAATTGGGAATATTGTAATTGAAGTAAAACAAATGCGAATTCTGGAATTAATCTTTTTTGTGTCCTGGGTTAGAATGTGTTTCTATTTTGTGTGGAAGCACAAGGGATTGATTTTTGATAATTTTAAGTGGATATTTTCTATTGAGAAGGTAATTATATAGGTGTTCTGTGTGCTTTTGCAAACCTCATTTCGTTAACAGATACATTTTATGCGTAAATTTTGGTTATAGATTATTGATTCTTTTAAGTTAGTGATGTTGCAGTTATTGAAATTTAGGTAGTAATGTCATTTGGGAGTTTGGTGTATAGTGTCGTGGAGATGAGGTTATTATTTACACATACCAGTTGGTCAATATATATATATATGTATTTACTATATTATTTGTTACGTCATTATACATAGTATTTAATATATTCTTAAAATCATTTGTTTGTTGAAGATAAGTCGGGGCATACAACGAGTTTCATTTTAAAAAAAGTGTTGTTTAGCTAACATAATTTATTAAGAATATCTTGTTAAGACTGAATGCCTTGTATTTGTTTTATTTATTATATAGTAGCATGAATAGTTCTATGTTCTAATCTATTTGCATTGAAACGTAATATTTCTCTGTTGTTAAGATTAGTTTCGAAACTGGAGGAAAACGTTTAGAGTTGTAATGTTTATTTTGCTTATCTTTCTTTGACTATAAGCTCATTAGCACCGGTTCCTTTATTATTCATATTCAAAGATTCATTTTATTTGATGTGATTTTAATTCTTTTACATTTTCTTATTTATTAATTGTAAAATAATGTATTTCAAATTTGTTGATAAAGCGTTTTCAATTCTGTTTCGTTATTTTGTTTTGTTTACTACTAGTCAATTTGTTTTATTATTTATCTTTCAATAATTTAAATAAAAACAAGAACAACAACAACAACAATAATAATGATTATAATAATATTTATAATAATAATAATGAAATATTTTAATATATTTGTTAATAATTTTATATTTTTTATTTGATTATTATTTTATAAAAAAACCATATGAAGCAATATACTGGAACATTTAATCGCGAACAGTTTAATCCGACATCGAATGTATTAAACATTTTTTTTTTTTTTTGTATAGGTGAATTTGGGCAGAAGTATTGCCTGTGTTGTTCATTAGCTGCACTTATTTTTAAGGGTAACGGGCAACACTGGTGTTCATCCATCCTCTTAATCTCTCACGTGTTAAAGGCAAGCTGTCGGCCATGGACATGGTGAGAAGATGGGAGCCGCCAAGTTACCTACAAGTCCGCAGAAATTATTATATATATATATATATATATATATATATATATATATATATATATATATATATATTAGAGACAAAGATTTTATCCTCAGTTCAGTTGGCTGGATCTGCATGCTCTACAAATATCTCCTGCGTACCGCCATAAGACCTCTCAGTCTTAATGATATGTAAACAGTGTTGCAAACAACATGACAAGGAGGCATTATTGGCATAATTAGCTTGCTTCTGTTTCATATTCTGTCGCTTCACATTTTTTGCATAACTTGCCCACAGCAACAGCATGAACTTCCACAAGCCAGTTGATCAGAGCATACCTGAAGCATTTATTAACAAAGTTTCTTCATCCCTACTTCTGTACACATGTAATGCATTTACATTATCCTTCAGATTATCTTTAAACTTCTTGGACTAGTGTTGTGGAGGCTTCCATGATTCAGAACCCGTAGAAAAGTTGTTTGGGAATCTTGTTATGCCCTGTTCCCAAAACGTGTCTTGTCCATCACATCTTGTTGAGATTTATTATTGTTTCAATGCTGTTGTATTCTGAAGTTTGGGGGACAATAGTGTTTAAAATCAAAGACAGCCATTTGTTAAGGAAGCGTATCTGACATTTTTGGTGTAATCGTTCCACCCATTTTATATGCATCCAGTAAGTTGTCTATGTTTCTGAAGGCTACAGTAGGACACAATTTCTTTTGTTCGATTGCAATGACCCTATATGACCAAACACTACTTTCCGATTTGCCAACTGCAAAAATTGCATTCGAAATACGCTACCAAAATCTCAGTATTAAAGACAAAATCTATTGATATAGATATATGATAAGTATGGGAAAATGTCAACACACATACATACATACATACATACATACATATATATATATATATATATATATATATATATATATATATATATATATCTTACTTATTAAAAAACGTAGATTGTGTGTGTGTGTCTGTACGTTTATATATTGGATCGGATTTCCTACATTTTTCAACCGCTTTCAACAAAATTTCACAGGGATGCATAAAATTACATTGCGGTGGTACTGACAGCGCCAAAAATTGGAAAAATACAATTGTTTTTGCACAAAATCAATTTGAAAACACGATTCTGTCGTCAGAATGAAAGGGGGACAACTCATATCGTGTTATACTTATAAAACCCAGGTTGTTTGTGTGTGTGTTCGTTTATATATGGGATCGGATTTTCTACATTTTTCAACCGATTTCAACAAAACATCACTTTTTTTCGCAGGTAGTTTTTCTTATTGTCTTGCACACTTTTTTTCTTTATTTTTACATTCAGAATGCTTAAAAAATTCCATTAATTCTATTTAATCGGTAGACTCATAACGATTGAAAGCAATGTTTTTTTTTGAGTTTGGGTTTGACCAATTCGTAAAAAAAACAACTAATTAAGACATGCGTGTCCGTCAACCTTAAACAATAATCTTTGTCAATTTTATTTTTCAGTCTTTATGATGGTCGATACTCTTACTGTTACATCCCGGGCAACGCTCGGCTCTACTATATATATATATATATATATATATATATATATATATATATATATATAGTTTATATATTTAGTTTATATATTTTTATATATATATATATATATATATATATATATATATATATATATATATATATATATATTTTTAACGTTAAACTATGTCCAGCAGTAAAGCCTCTGATCAGGATGTTTTGAGGAGTGTGGAACCACCTCTTAATTGCTGGTGTTCCCAGGTCCACCTTGACACAGGGTGGTTGCACCAGTTAGGGTCCCAACTATGAGCAAATAGTTAACTATTACCAGCGATACAATTTTGAAGGAAATATATTATCAGAAACAGATTTTTGACAAAACAAAATATTACCAGCAATAAAAATTTTTGTCAGCATTAAATAACCCATTCAGATTGATATGCCATAAAACAAAATAAACCAAACCAATCTAAACTAAAAACTACATACTCTATTCATAAGAATCTATTCTAAAAATGTTGTCGGCATTTAATAACCCATTGAGGGTGATATGCCATAAAACAAAATAAACCAAACCAAAAACTCTTGATCTTAGGTTTCATAAACTTCATTCATTTTCTATTTTTCTGTTGGTATACCAGCAAAAGTAAATATATGTTAGCTATTTCTTTCTTTCCTTTTAATGTCGTACCCCTTCCAGACACACGTGTACCTGTCTTTTCGCATACTCCTTTTTATTATTTATGAATTATTACCTCTAGTGGGGAAAAGTAGAAGGGTCATTATCCGTTTCATTCTTTCTCCGGTTTGCCATACAGTGTAGTATTTTCCCTTGATTGGATTTCGCTCAAGGTTTGAGATCATAGTTTAAATTTGTCAATAACCCATAGCCGGCAGTGGAAGAGATGTATCCGTACATTTAAATAAGGCCATGTAAGTGAAAGTGAACTCAACAGACGCGTCGAGTATTTGATCTCGGCTCAGCGATCCCATTTTCAACACTGATATCCTTTAAGCTAACAGTACATTTGAATACTGAATGCATATATTTGTTGAGTACCGATTCCTATAGATTATTTCATATCACAAAATCTTTCTTTATTTAGTAAATAAATCCGCATTATTTTTATTCGACTATTTCAGTTGTAAAGTTTTCCAATGAGAATCACATAGTAAAGAGTTAGCAAATTCTTAATAACATCCAAAGAATCTGAAATGTTATTGGTTTTCCCACCGCTGTAGCTTGCCTGTGCTTTTTCTATAAATATTTTCATGGTAATTGTTCTGATAAGCTTTCCACATTGGTACCTCGACAAATTTAAGCGCAGTACTAGTGTGGCAGTTAGGTTCCATCATTTTACAACTGAAATTAGATTTAACTATACGTTTCATGCTATTAGTTTCTTCTCTCGCTTATGGAACTTTCTTCTGACTTAATAGTTATTTTCTGCCTTCTTAATTCCTGTTCTTTATCGTTCTCTCACCTTAATAAAGCTGTTCTTTTTCTCATATTCTTTCACACTCTTTATTCCTTTTGCTTCTTAGTGGCTTTATTGCTTTGATTTGAATGAAATGATTTTAGAAATATAGCCAATTTTACTTGTGTGAATTCTGAATAGACAATATGTATTTCTCTTTCAACTCAAACGGAATTAGTATAAAGACGATTTCAAAATGGGAATCTTCTTTTAAGTGCCTTGTCTCGTCAGGACGTTGGCTATCATAGCTCTCCATAACCTATCCTTTATGGCCCTTAGTAATACTTTTCAAATACTCCAAACTCCTGTTCCGCCATCTGTTCACTAACGTTGATGAGGTAGGTGGCTCCTTGCTTTCACTTCTCTTACCCTCGATTTTTCTTGTGGGGGATAAGTTTTTCAAGCCTTTCTTCCACATCGTGTTTTGGGAATTTCAGTTGTCTCGTTCTGATCCTGAGTATAAATATTCTTTTTGCTACAATTTTGAAGAAAAATTCCTTGCTTTCTTGCTCCGTCCATGGGATTTTCTATGTCATTCTGTGGAATCATATATCTGTTGCCTTCCTCTGGGGTGGAGTCGATATTTTAACTAGTCAAAATTATCTCCCCCTGCACTTCCACATTTGGCATGCAACTCTGACCAATTGGATGTGTGTCACGTATGGAGATATATACTCCTGTAGGCGAGTATATTATATTTAGTAAACGATTGAAGTTATGGTTAGATAAAAAAAAAAAAACGGAATATTAAAGATTAAGAATTTCTAACCATTATCTTCATAACTAGATGTCGAAAGATGAAACACTTGAAAAGGTGAAGGAGAGTAAATATATACAGTTGTTAATGTTATAAGCAATACGACGCCATAGTCGGTGTGATTTGCTTTCTTGTTGGGGATGAGTGGCTGTGAAGAAATATCAACTCCATTGACATATGAAATAATCTCAACAATATATATTGACGTCTGTTTAGAGGACTAACATCTTTTTCTAATGGATGATGGAGATTTATACGACACAGCAAAAAGGAACCAACATTGGCAGATTCAAAACTGGTTCTTCTCACCATGGTCTGACATAATTCTTCATGAACAGATTTGGGCCATTTCGATCGTGAAATATGGGAAATATCCAGAGAGAGAAAAAAAAACTTTTACTAATGGACGACCATGTTATTTTGGCGCCCATTTTGGATAGCCCATATCCCGAAAGAAGTGACTTCAGTGCTGACAAATATTGTGTCTGTCTCACAAATTATAAGAAAGGAAATAAATTTAATATAAAATGTCCATTTATTTTGTGTTGCCTGAAGCAATTACTCCACATTCCTAATTCTTTCCTTTAGTCTTTTCTTTCTTTCGTCATCTCATTCATTTGTTCTATCTGCAAGTCTGTTTATCTATCACAATATATATTTTTTCGATGCCATTGAAATATAATGGAATATATTATTTATTGGTCAAGCAGCCTGGTCACTCTGACTTACTGAGGAGTCATTAATTTAATATAAAAACAGGAAGTATTAGCCCACAATAATAATCGGGGACGCACTCTGTTAACGAAACAGGATATATCACTTAGAAGTATTGAGTACAGTTTGGCAATACATCTTTTATTTATTTTATTTCTTTGAATTATTATTATTTATTTTTTTTTGCTTTTGAGTTGTTGTTCTGTTGGTTTGCCTTTGCTTGCTCATGTTATTCATACAAATTATCACACTGACATTTTCGCAATAGAATTCATTTATTTCTCTCGTAATATCTTTCTATATAAAATTATTAACCCATAAACACCTTTACATTTAATTATGATGTTTTATTTTCTGGTAATGGTTAAAAGTGAAAGAATTCAAGAGAAGAACGAATATCTGCATTTTCATGAGCCAAAAACTCAACCTTTTTATGACAAACAAGTGAAATTATAAAGTAATATAAAATGTATATACCTGTTTTCTTCAATATTGCATGTATGAAACAAAATAATTTTGCCGAAATATACAACCCCTAGAAAAATAGGATTAACACACTTACAGAATATTTTTTTTTATTTTGCAGTTATTAAACAAATCAGAACTGAAAAAAAATCAATTAATAGGTGAACATTCCTCTTTCATAAGCTTAAGCAAACTAGATTAGATTATTGAAATTAATAATATATTTTCCTAAGTTGTAGAAATATAATGAATAAACATAATATTAAGGACAAATTATGACATTCATCGATAACAAATTGACAATTAATTCTTAGTTGTCCAGTTTCAAGGTTTAGAGAAAACTTTAATTCTTCCAAGCATAGATTTTGCCAATTAAAAGCAGCGCTCTTTCTATACTTTTTTTCCGAATGGGGTTTAAGAGATGTTTTTGTTAAATGGAGCCTTATCTCTTTTCTAATTTTTCCCATGAATTAGATTTTGATAGATAAAGATCACCACCCTTGCATTGATTTTTATGTCTTTCTTGAATAAAAGCCTTAATAATCATTGGTTCTGTGACAAGATACATTATCGTTCTGAAAAAATGATTTCCACATCTCTATACGAATTATTTATCGAAACAAAATTACACAGGATTTGAATGTAAACGTGTTCATTCTTTTGTTGTTACACAGGATTTGAATGTAAACGTATTCATTCTTTTGTTGAGATAATGTATATTGTTTTTAAAATACAAGGGAACCTCGGCTCCCGAATTTAATTCGTTCTTGAAGGCCGCTCGTAACCCGTAATGTTCGTAAACCGAAACTCTTTTTCCAATAGGAATCAATGTAGATAAAAAACAAAAGTCACAGTGCAATGAAATTTGAAAAGAAAACCACACCACAAAACACGAATGTATACGACACGGCGGTCGACTCAGAAATTATTCCGTGAGGGATAATTCGGCCCGACAATGATGTTCGAGAACCGAAATTTTGTCCGATACCCGAGGCATTTTCATCTCGAATTTTCTGTTCGAAAACCGATTTATTCAACATGTGAGACTTTCAAGAACCGAGGTTGCACTGTAATTAGTTTACCTACAGCAAAATAAAATACCTAAATGGAAATCCTTTATGTGTTATGTCCTCTCGGGGCGTAGGCGATCATGACTCTCCACAACTACCTGTCCCTTATAGATCTTAATAAACTTTGCCTCTCTGCTATTTGTCCTTAAATATGTCCCGCCATCCATTTACTCAAACTCATTGTGTACGACATGCGTTGTTTACATTTCCTTTTTGATTCCATTTTCTCTAAAATGTTGATCATATGTTCCGCCCAGGGTATCTTCAGCATCCTTCAGCATCATCTTTGAGGAGACTGATCAGTACTCACAGTCACACAGGAGGACAGATATTATGTAACAGTTTAGTACTATTTTCCTTGTTTCTGCCGAAGATATGATATTTCTCAGTATTCAGCTTAGCTTTTGGAAGGCTTCCTTGGCTTTGCCAATACGCTTTCGGATTTCAGTGTCACACTTTATGTCTTCTGTTAAAACATTTCGCAGATTTTTGTACTCGTTTGATTTTGACATCTACAATTTGCAATTAGCACTTTGGGTTAATTTTTACCAGGGGTGTGCATATGTGTATGAGTGGATCTGCGTGAGAGTGTTCGGGAAGAGAGAGATATAAAATATACATTAGAGTCCCCAGACCAACACAAATCCCAGAATTTGATAAAATCTCAAACATAATTTATTTTCGTTAACACAAATCGACAGTTTTTGAACAGGTACTCATACCAGATTTGGCTTGAATGTTCATAGTACAATCAAGATATAAGTATAAGTGGACACTCCTTTTGATAGAATAATGATTCTATTATGCTTAGATGAGTTCTGTTTATCAATTTGTGTGTCTACGTACAATAATATCTTTATCAACTTACGAAATTTTCAGCCATCCTTCATATACACCCCTGAACAAAATCTTAAGACCAGATACAAAAGAGTAAAAAAAAATTAAAATACTGTTACTTTAATCAAAATATATTTGCGAAGCTTTTACATTTAATTAGAAAATGTAGTTTATCAATAAACAAGTGAACATTTTAAGCTTTTAATTGATTAATTTAAACAAACATTGAAAAAAGGATTTTTTTGGATCGGTCATAGAGATAAGACCATGTGAGAAAAAAACAAATTACTGGACAAAAACTTTTAGAACTAATCAGTGTGTTCATAGCTTCAGGCGTGTAGATATCTACGTAACTCATTTCCAGTAATAGATTTCAGATTTTAAAATGGCTAAGGGTAAAATTTTAACAAAGTTCGAACAGGGGAGGATTTTTGAACTTGAAAGGCGTGGTCTTTCGTAAAATGAAATTGGCCGTAGCAGAACTATCATTGCTAACTTCATTAAAAATCCGAAATCATATCTTTCTAAAAAATCAAGCGATCGCCCGATAAGATCTCACCACCTCTAGACAGACGCATTAGGCGAGAAGTTAAGAGAGATTCAAGCCTAGCATCAAATTAGATAGAACCGAATACAGATTTTGAAGTAACAGTATTTTATATTTTTTTAAACTTTTTGTATCTGGTCTTAAGATTTTGACCAGGGGTCTATATGTGATTATACACAGTCGGGTGCGCGTTTTAGAGTTTTAATTTAAAAAGTCCAAGATTGAAGGATACATGTCCAGTTTTCGTAATGGCCTTTCACCTTCCTTCTTCGTCCTTGCTTGCAGGTCACATGGTGCAGTTTGTAGACAAATCTTACTCGTTTTAACAAGCCTGTTTAGACAACACGACGACGCCATTATTGTTATTAGAATTTTCTTTTCCTTTTTCTTGATGTATTCTTATCTACTAAACAATTCTTCCTCCTTTTCGGGAAGACACAATTGAGATATTTCCATCTGCCAGAGAAAAGGATGTTAGCAACTCTCAACAAAGCACGGTTCGGTGTTGATATTTCCAAAGTATATTATATGAAAACTTGAATGCGTTTACTGAAAAAAGAAGCGGAAACGAAGCAGCATCAAATCGACCGACCAGAGCTAATAAGCACGTGAATACAATACAAAACAAATAAAATAGTCTGGTTGAAGGAACATATATATATATATATATATATATATATATATATATCTTCTAATTATTTTCTCCTTTTTCACCTATGTTTTTTTTTTTTTATTGAGTTCATCATTATTATTGATTTCGTTCTGAGACATAGTCTTTTAATATTTCTTCCCTTTTTTAATAGGAATGTTTTGCACTCAATGACACGCTCTAAAAAAACAACAAAATAAAAAAATCAAACAAAACAAAAACAACTCATGTAAAATGTTTCTGCTCGGATAATATCTAATCGCGCCCGCTGTATTTTAAGCCAATAATTGTTAAACAAGTGCAAGGTTATATATTGTTCCCGCCTTCCTAGTTTTGTGGCGGGAAGCGAAGGACCAGATCGAGCGTTTTCGGTGGGTGCATAGACCAAATGTACTCCATGTTCATTGGTTCTGGCTTAATAGTTATTGTCCCAACCTCTGGGGTGTTTAAGTTCATTTGCTACCATAAAAACCATCAATACAAACAACGTTGATTGTATTTGAACAGGTAAATAAAACAAATACAAAACGAGACGTCTTTAGATCCATTACGGACAGAGTGCAGTGTTATTAAAATCTATTTTCTTGGCAAATAAATAAGATCCAGAAATAAGAAAGAACGGTTATTTTTTTTCCTTTTCTTTAAAGAAAGTTCTAAAGGAAACATATTTTGTAACATTATATACTATGAGGCCGGGGCGCCCTCGATGTCGAATACTGGAATATGCACGTAACGGCTTGGTTTCAAAACTTACCGTAAATAACAGAGAATTTATCGTGTTAAAAAGAATTTGGAAACCTCTACGTTATGATTTGTTTTTTACTTGGGGAATACTGGCTGTCATGGAGAGATGTTGCTGTGAGGAATATTCTTATCCTTCTTCGCCTTCTTCTTTTCCTTCGTCTTCTTCTTTTCCTTCTTCGCCTTCTTCTTTTCCTTCGTCTTCTTCTTTTCCTTCTTCGTCTTCTTCTTTTCCTTCGTCTTCTTCTTTTCCTTCGTCTTCTTCTTTTCCTTCTTCTTCTTCTTCTTTTCCTTCGTCTTCTTCTTTTCCTTCTTCGCCTTCTTCTTTTCCTTCGTCTTCTTCTTTTCCTTCTTCGTCTTCTTCTTTTCCTTCGTCTTCTTCTTATCCTTTTTCGCCTTCTTCTTTTC